CGTCGTTGCCGTGGTCGCCGTCGCTCACATCGTGGTCGTCTTAACCTCCGCCCCCGCCTCTACTTCCTCTTTGATGCACACCCGCAAGCAATCGGATATCACATGGAACTAGCATTACAACAACCGTGCAATGGAAAGTTGAAGCCAGTGAAGGTGTGCACATCGCGTACAAGCGCATGTCAGCCAAGGCTGTGCAGCTCGTTGGAAAGAACACACGAACACAGAAAACAAAACCCGTCTTATGCAATGTGTCGTAGCTCACTTCGCGGCTCCCTTGCTAATTAGGTTGCACCTGATTTGCAACATGCTCCTGCCAGGAGCATTTCTAGGAACCGAGCGAGGGGGTGAAATAAGAAGAAGAAGGCCCTCTCCTCTCCGAAGGCGGCGGGGCTTCTCGGACGGCCTCTAGCCTTCCGAGAGGTTTCTTTTGTCTTCGGGGGAGGCTCGAAGAACTTCTCTGAAGGCCGGGGGCCTTCCGCCCCTTCCGAGAAGGCCCGCCCCTTCTCGCTTTCCCCCCTCGCCCGCTGCCAAAGCCAGCATGGGCATTGAGATAAAGTCAGGCGCAACCTGGCATGAGGTGAACTGCGTACATTGGGAAGTCGAAGCTGCTTCCAAGAGAAACAATGCACTGGAAGTCGAACCTTCTTCCAACAGAACCTAAGATTATCTGCGTGCATTGGGAAATCGAACCTGCTGACAATGCGCGCAGCTCGCCCGGAGCCGGGCGCGACCGCCAGAAGTGGCCCAGAGAGACCGACGCCCGGCAGGCCCAACGAGGGGGGCACCGCGCGCACCGCGCGCCACGCCCCCAGATGCGCCTGCGAAGGCTGACGTCCGCCAACAGCCTCATTCTCCTCCTCCCTCCTCCTCATTCCTCCTCCTCCTCTCCTCCTCCTCCTCCTCCTCCTCCTCCTCCTCCTCCTCCTCCTTTCTCCCTCCCTCCCTCCCTCCCTCCTCCTCCTCCTCCTCCCTCTTTCTCCCTCCTCCGACCTGGCATGCCTGACATGAGGCTGCGGGCCACCAAATCCATGGATCGGGGGAGGTGCCCTCTCCAAAATGCGGCCGGAGCCGCCTCGCTCGGCGGCGGAAATCCGCGATCTCCTATGGAAACGGGACCCGTCGCTAATCCACGCCACCTCGATCCACATTTGCGATCGCCTGATATGGACACCCCGTGTTGCTCACCAGCCCTGGGCGGTCCTCTAGAGGCCTTCGGCGGTCTTCTGCGTCGGTCTGCGGCGTGAAAACTGGATGCTTGCGATGAGCAATGGGGCTCGTGATCGAACGCCGAAGGCAAAACTGTTCGCCCCGGATCCGTTGTTGATGGCTCGCGGCCCCGAGGACGGGCCCCACTGCGGAGGCCGAAGTCGAAGGAGCAGCGCCGGCCGAACACATCACATCGTCGGGGATCTGGGCCTTTGTAGGCCCCGGAAACGGCGGGGCCGTTTTTTCGCCGTTTCCAAAACTATGTCCCTTGAAAATGGAAACGGCAACAAAAACGGCGACCGGAAACGTCACAAAAACGGCTCCAGGATTGGAACCGGAGCTGGAACCCGTCACAAAACGGCGACGGAACCAGTTAAAAAACGGCGTCGGAACCGGTTAAAAAACGGCAAAACAGAACCGGTAAAAAAACGGCCCTGCCCACTAAGATCTGGGCATTGCTCCATATTAGCCAACTTGCGCTGCAGACGGTAAGCTCCAGCTGGCCCAGCACCAACACTTCATCTCTGCCGTGCACGCACGCGTACTGAGTCAACCGCATGCGACAGCGCGCAAATGTCAAGAGCCCCCAAAGTGCCCTTCCAAAATTCCACTGCCTTCTGCGGGCTTCCATCTCCCCCCTCTGCACCGCTCCGTCACTGTGCTTTCTTCCAGGCTGCTGGCTCCCCCCTCGGCCAGGGAGGGGCAGGACTCGGATCGCAGGCCACCGAACTTTGCGAATCGCGCTCCGTGACGCGTGGCCATCTTAACGCCACCGCGTCCAAGCACCAGCCCTTCGAAGAAGGGCGGCCACTCTGACCCGCCCGCGACGCGCGAAGCGCGACTGCCTCTGCGCCCCCGCTGGTGGCCTAGGGCCTAGGGGTCGCCCCCCCCCGCCAAGGCCTTTTCCTCCTCATCCTCCTCCTCCTCTTCCTCCTCCTCCTCCTGCTCCTCCTGCTCCTCCTGCTCCTGCTCCTGCTCCTGCTCCTGCTCCTGCTGCTGCTCCTGCTCCTGCTCCTGCTCCTGCTCCTGCTCCTCCTCCTCCTCCTCCTCCTCCTCCTCCTCCTCCTCCTCCTCCTCCTCCTCTCCCCCCGCGCGGCGCCAGGACCGTCCAGAGCAGGAGGAGAGACGGAGAGGAGGGCAGCGGGGGAAGCAGCGGCTGCGCGAACGAATGACGCCAAGCATGCAAGTGACATGTTGAGCCCGGCCCAGGGAGGGCCCCCTTCCGGGACACTGGCAGGCGCCCAAGCCGCTGCCATCGCATGGCATTCGGCGATCGGGGAGTCCCAGTGGGCCCGCACCAAATAGGTCACTCGGGCGACAATACGTGCAGCCGATGCCAAGGTACCGAAACATACAAAATAACCCATATGTGCATAAGTATATATGTATGTGTGTATATATACATATATATATGTATATATACATATAGTCAACCGTAGTCGAAACATCGTCCCCAGACTGTTTTTGAATTTTCCTCCTGTAGAGGGACATGCCCGACCTGATCTCACGTGTCGCCGATGCCGATGCCGCCGCTCCCCGGACCTCTCCCGGGGTGCGCTCTGGCCAGGTTGCTCCCAAGGCCTCTCCCGCATCCCTTCGCGCAGCTTGTTGAAGCAGGCTTCTGCGCCCGCGCAGCGTCGGCGCCCCCAGACCCCCGAGCTTCAACGCTGTTGCCAACACTTCTTTTTGTGCCGCGTCGGCGGCTACTATTAGGTCGGGCCTGTCCCCCTACAGGGAAATTTTGGGCGACAAATTAAAGATACTCGAAAATATTCAAACATAGTAAACAAGTGTAGAAACATCGTCCCCAGACGATTGTTGGATTATTGTTTGAAGATTCCTCCTGTAGAGAGACACGCCCGACTTAAGGCAAGGCTATTGGGCAGAGTCACTGCGCTGGCGAGGAAGCAAAGCGGAGCTGCCGTTCAGCGAATTGGGTCACCATGCAGGAGGGGGGAAGAGAGCTGTTGCCAAGACAGTCGACTTCATATTGTTCGCCAGCGTCCGCAGACCGCGCTGCGCCACTGAACATTGAAATGGAGAGGCACAGCGGGGGGAAGGGGGCGCACAACTTGCTCTAGGCTTCGCGGAGGGATGCGGGGCGCAGTTTGGTCAGAATTTCAAGGAGAACCCAGCCGTCCCAGCGAGGAGCTCCCCAAGACGCGAGAAGCGGAATCGGTACCTCTTTCGCCCCCGAGACAGAGAGCTGGCCGCGGGCCCAGGGGGGGGGGGGAAGTGAGAGGGGGCAGGCCTTTTCTGAAGGCGGCGTGGCTTCTCGGAAGCCCTGCGGCCTTCTGAGACGCCGTCTCTGTCTCCGAAACTTTCTCTGAAGGCCGGCGGCCTTCCGAACCCCTCTGAGAAGGGCTGCCCTCCCTCTCAATTCCCCCCTGGGCTCGCCGCCGATAGGGAGAGGCGCCAGACCCAGATCCTTGCAGAGGTCTCGACCCGCTCGCGGGGACCGTTTCCACGCCGCGAGCGGGTGTTCGACAATCCCGCGACCCGTCGAGGTCCCCCGGAGGCCGAAAGCGAGTCGCGATTCGCTCTGATTCGTCGGAGTGACTCGCTCACGGCGCGAGCAAACGATCAGCAAAATACCTCACTTCGTGATTCGTTCACGACGCGAGGGGGTCTCCACCGATGCTAGATAGAGATCTCCTAGATGGGGTCCGAGTAGATGGGGTCGGAGGATTGCACCGCATCGGTGATGTATCGGCGATGCATCGGTGATGCATCAGCGATGCATCGGCGACGTCGGTGGTGCATTGGCAACGCCGGCGCGGACGCAAGCGGGCTCTACATTGAGCCGCATTGCCGATGCATCGGCGATGCAACGCGATCCTCCGAGGCCAAGAATGTCCCTGGGAGGTCGGAGGACCCCATCTGATAGGCCGAGAATGAGGAGGAGGGAGGAGGAGGAGGAGGACGGGGTCCGTGCCATGCGACCTCCCCTCCTCCTCCTCCTCCTCCTCCTCCTCCTCCTCCTCCTCCTCCTCCTCCTCCTATCCTCCTCCTCCTCCTCCTCCTCCTCCTCCTCCTCCTCCTACCGCCTCTTTCCCTCCTCTCTCCTCCTCCTTCCCCCCTCCTCTCTCCTCCCCCCCTCCCTCCTCCTTCCTCCCTCCTCTCTCCTCCCTCCTCCCTCCTCCTCCCTCTCCTCCCTCCTCCTTCCTCTCTCCTCCTTTCCCCCCCTCCCTCCGTCCCCTCTAGGCGGGATCGAACATCAGGGGGTGCGAAAGGCTGGAGAACTCGGGGGGTGCTAAACTCTGAGATCCTGGCGCTGCAATGCTTCCACACCGGACGTCTTCGCCCAGCTTCGGGCCCCTGGGACCCTCACAGATCAACCCCGCTCGAAGAATGAAGCAGAAAGATGGGGTCTGGGGCTCCGGTGGTGATTTTCTGCGATGTTGTACATGGTTGGCGACGTCGGGTCTTAGGGACACTACCCCTGGCCTAAGGTGCCCCCAGCTTTTCGCACCCATGGGGCCCTCTGGGCTTCGTGAGGGGTGCTCTGGAGGCCGCGGGGGCCTCCTGGGAAGTTCTGGGGACACCTTCGGCCATGGGGCAAATCTAGCAACACCCCAGGAGCGAAAACTACCGAAGAGGGCGCGAGTTCAACGGTGTGTCCCGTGTTCGTGTTGTTTCCGATTTCCCTCGTTCCGTCCCTTCCGCCAGTGCTGCAGAACGAGATCCGAACGAACGGTCCTCGAAATCGCCAAAACACCGTTTAGCCCGCGCCCTCGAACCCGCCCCTGAACGTTGCCCTGGAGCCCGTCTCCCCCCTGTCTCTCTGATGTTGCCCCGACTGGCCCCGAGGCGGGCGCCACCAGCCCTCGTCGTACAGCCTGCCCCCGTCGTCCTCCAGCACCTCTGAGGCGTCCCCCGGCCTCGGACAAGTCAATTCCAGATCGCTGTTGGCGCTGTCGGAGTCGACAGCCCCGGGGCGCAGTCCACGGAGGAGGAGGAGGAGGAGGGGGAGGAGGAGGAGGAGGAGGAGGAGGAGGAGGAGGAGGAGGAGGAGGAGGAGGAGGAGGAGGAAGAGGAGGAAAAGGAGGAGGAGGATCACTGAGAGCACTGAGAGCCCCGGGGCGCATTCCACGGAGAAGGTCATGGCGACGGATAGATGGGGGCGTGAAGCACCGCAGTGTCTTGAGGCCAGCAACCTGCGACAGCGAGGGCCATGGTAATTGGCTACGTGCGGCATCGGCTTGGAACTAGTAGTGCTGTTGCCACCCTCTAACATCGAACGCATGGTATGACAAGTTAGAGACCGGTGCGTGAGTTGTGCGCAGAGAACTAAATAATGGCACATGCACATGCGCATACGCATACGACTGCACACGTACATTTACACATGTACATATCTAGACATGTATATATATATATATGTGTGAACATATATGTAGGTGTATATACAAGACTGCATTGGCGCTTAGCGCCGTGCACCTCGGTCCTTCAAATTCGGCCTGTGACCGGAATGAAAGACGGGTAAAACATTGACGCACAAACAAATCACTGTTGTTGTTTTCGCCATCGTTGTCATACTATGTGCTTCTTTCTCCATCCCTAATCCCACCAACCCTGATGGGTGTTAGTAGCTTAGCGGGTTTACTTTTCCAACCCCCCTTTTTCCTCTTCGGAAGGGATGATCACTGTTCCCTATGAATAAGCACCCCCTCCCTCAGGCGACTGGCAACCAACCATGACCACTGACAGCCCCCCACCAACATCCCTGCCAACAGCAATACAGAAGGGGCGTTGACCTAAGGAACCCTAAATAAGGAACGAGGCCTCTTTTTCCCATAAGTTGAACTTCGATTTCCAATCGAAGCCCTAAGCAAAACCAAAGGCGAACTGCAAAACAACTAAGGAACACCGAGCCCCTCCCCAACGAAAAGGGTTCCTTCCTCAGTGCCCCGACTGTACACAATACGCCTTGGGGCAACTTCTTGGGCCATGCTCGTGGGGTATCGCGCAGGGCGTATCAAAAAACACAAAGTGCACTCCGCGGCTAAATGTGGATCGTGCGCGGCCACCCCGCGGTCACTTTGCATGCCTTTTTGACAACGACGGCGGGTGTGATGGCATGTTGCCTGCTGTGCGCAGGCCCACCAGACACCATGATGGTCAACTCGCAGCGATTGCGCACGGATTTTCGACAAGGACGGTGGGGGCCGACATGTTTCCCGATGTGTGCTGTCACGCGCGCAGGCGTAACTGGCACACTCTGCACGTGCCCCGCACGTGGCGCACCTGACGTGGCTGGAGCATGTGGCACACATAAAGGGGGCGACAATCAGAACCACCCCTGTTCCCCAGAGGATGTCGCCCGCAAGAAAGGCTCATTTTAGAAATCAGCCCTATTAGAATGCACAGTCAGACCATTCCCCAAGGCAGTCGGTCATCAAAGTTGCAAGTGGGCCCTGCCCAGACCGCCTCCGGCCCAAGGAAGGTCAATAGAAAACTGGGACGGCCGCTCGATTCGAGCGTGTTCCCCGAGCGCACGGCAATTCGCGACGGGGGGGGGTGATTAAAACAAAAAACCGTGATTCCCGACGCATTCTGGCCAAAGATACGGGGGTCCGACAGAACGTCGCGCGGGGGCGGGCACCGACTATTCCTTGTTATCGCTTCCTCTGCAACTACAGGGTGAATTGAAAAAACGCGATCCCCCGCTCACCCAAACAAATTGCGGGGGGCCCGCGATGATCGACGACGACAACGACACCGAATGACGACGACGACGACGGACGACGAAAACACAACGCAAGCTGCTGTGGATGCCCAACGGGGTTGGTGCTGCGAGGTTGCGCAGGCGACGACGACGACAACGACGGACGACGACGACGCTAACGGCGCTGACGGCTCTGACGACGACGGCGACAACAACAAGGACGACACCAACGACGACGCCGACGCCGACGACGACGGATGACGACTACGCAACGCAAGCCCCTGCGAATGCACCATGCCGACGACGCCGACGTCCGCGCTACGCCTATAGCAATAACATAAACAACAACATCAGCAACAACAACAACAACAACTACTACTACTACTACTACTAAGTCTACCGCTAACACTGCTACTACCATATCTGCTTCCTACCCACTATTACTACCTACTGCTACTCCTTCTACTACCGACTACCTTCTACTCCATTATGTTACCTACGATGTGTACTACTACGACTACTACTACTACTGCGACGACTACTACTACTACTACTGCTAATACTACTACTGCTACTACTACGCCTACTACTACTACTACTACTACTACTACTACTACTACTACTAC